AGATTGCGTAGATGGTCATTGTTAGAAACTCGTTGTCAGAAGGCACTGCTCGTCACATGCTTAGTGGTTCGGAAGTTCAAAGCTGTCTTTTCGACCTAAACACCTGTGCCGATAGTAACAAAAGAAAAAAAAAGTAAATAAATAAATGCGGGAATAAAAAGCAGGAGAAAAAAAAAAACTATCAAGAATTCGTCGGAAGTGTTCTATTCTTGCATATTCAGAGGTTCAGAACTTCGAAACAAGTTTCTTTTACCAAAATGTGTACAGGCTAAAAGAAACGCGTCCCAGGAACGTGAAGCGAAAAAAAAAAAAAAAAGTTTTCTTTTAATGACGTGCTGAACTTGAACACTACTAGAAATCTTCTCCCATGAGTTAATTTATTCCTTAACGTGAAAAAACAATAAATATATTATTTTGTATTCTGCAGATGGCAATGATATGTACTGTCTGTGGTGTTAATTTAAATGTGATACCTCAAACAACTTAGACGAAAATAAATATCAAGTTTAGGTCATAATTGCATGCAGATACATGTTTGGACATTTCTTCGAAACTCACGTTGAATAACAATAATCACATCTTAAGACGGCACTTACCTAGGCTATACATAGATCATTCTTAAAAAAAGTATAACTTATCTACCATGAATAGCTCCGGCTGCAGCGTGCTTCAAATCTGGCACAAACGATGATCGTCAAAAACCCGTCGTCCTTCCTCGCCCCTTCGGGGATTTATTTCTTTAAACCTAAGCATGCCAGAACATTGAAATAAACGACATTGTCTTTCGTAAGGAACGCAGCACCGCGTGTAAAAGTTCGAGAAAAAAAAATTACGAATGTACCCCACTACTTGAAATCAAATGAAACCGTCCGCCGGTCTTCCGAAGTTCGACGAACGTCGAACTTTTACCCTAAAAGTTCGAAGTTCGTCGACTTCTGACTTTTCAGAATTCGAAAGTTCGAAACTTTTTCGAATTCTCTTAAAAATAAGTTCGAAAGTTCGAAATTCATCGAATTATTTGGTCAGTCAAGTTCGAAAGTTCGACAAGCATCGAACCTTGCAGCGCAATAAATTCGAAAGTTCGAAAAAGATCGAATTTTTTAGCGTAATAAGTTCGACGGTTCGAAAAGCGTCGAACTTCTTAGCTTAACAAGTTCGAAAATTCGACCTCGGTCGAATTTTACGATATAGACAATTCGAAAAATCGAAATCTTTCGAACCTTTCGAACCGCTTGATTCGATCATCGAAACTTCGATTCGAAAAAAGTTCGCGGCATCCCTACTGACACCCCACGCGTGCATGCACTCGCTGCACCGAGAAAATCGGGAGTGCGCCAAAATGCAATCCCGTCATGCCTCGCTCCGGCGGGGCCGGCGAGGATCGGGAGCAGACGACGAGGGTTCGTCTGCTACGATGTGTCGCGGAACCGAAAGGAAAAAAAGTAGATTTTCTGATAGAAATCGCGTCCCGCGGGCAACGAAATCAAACGCGAGCTTGAATTGTGAGCGTCTGCTATTTCACGAAGGAAGCAATCGACAACCCGTGATTTATTTGCAGGTTTTAAATCGCTCTGTTGCCGTACAAACGCTGAAATATACCAGTGTGTAAAGAAATGCTCAGAACAAACGCAACAGCGGCCCCCGAGATGTCTATCACCATCCGGTGTGCGGGTGAAAAATTTAACATTATTCGATAAAACTCCCCCGGCAGAAACCTCTGACTGCCCAATAAGCAGCAGAGAAAGCTAAAGATGGTGACTTTACCCGAGGATTGGGCAACATCATCATGTTTAACATTTACCTACGCAGCTAACTTGTCCCGTCGTATTTTGTTCGAGAAAGCTCTCGTTCTCGACGCCTTCACGAAGGCTAATATCTAATCCACAATGACGATCCAAATCGAAAGTCCCAGTTTTGCTGGATATTCCAACAGGCTAGTTTTAAGCCGTACCCTTTCAGTCGTTCACGCATAATACCATGCTCAAACGGATCAAGCTTCTGCTCGGACAGCATCATCAGTTTTCTTCAGTGTAAACGGTTATGAGGATTGAAGGATCGCAACCAGTTGCTTTGTGGACAGCTGGTTGCGGAAATTTACGCCGTCTGTAACTATCTCTACGGCAGCCGAGCTGCTTGAAGACATCGCAACTATAAACTACAGGTTGCAGTTGCCAACGTCTGTAGATAAACGTTGGTAGCGACTGCATTCTCGCATTCCCACGCATCACTCGGAACAGAAAGGCGCTAGTTTCGGTTTGAAGTCGGTACCTTTTCTACCACATAGATGGCGGCAGCATCAGTCTTCTGCACTCGGTGCATTTGGCGAGTTCGTTTGAGTCCAGTTTTCCGTGCAACACTCTGTGAGTGCGATGCATTCTGGGAGAGAACTCGAACGGTGCCAGTGCGTGTGAAACGAACTCGCTATAAGGTACGTTTCTGGTGCCCCATACACTTTGAAAATTTCAGCCTGTAATTGTTCACAATCTCCTCCCGGTTTATTCTGTTTCTACCTCCCTGCATGTTTATGAACCATGTATTGAGCCGATTCTTTCTCTAAATTCTACGGGGCTTCCCCCCGCTCTTCCTGCTGCTCCTGCGGTGCTGACACCCAGGAGCTGAATTTCTTTCTCCCGACTCTGGTATCAGTACGTGGTACACCTACACTGGTGCCGTCAGGGCTCTTTGGGTCCCCTACGGTGCCATGACAAAACTGCGACGTTGCTAGGTGCTCTGCGTCAACTTAAGCTCGAAAGTCCCTAAGAGAGATGGAAACATTAGTTTGAAGTTTTTCTATGGCCGCCAGCACGGAGCGCCGTAAAAGGGGGAGGCACCTGCAGCCCCACCCCCCTCCACGCGCACGCACACACACACATCCTTGTTGCGGAGAGATCAGCGGAGACGCGAGATTACTGCGCGACCACGGCATCGGAAATTAGGTTTCGTTACACAGTTCACTGCGGGATCGCCGTAAAGAAGGTTCGTTCTCTTCTTCACTTGTCTCTGTCCCTTCTACTTTTAAGTTTCTGTTTCTACCCCAGTCTCGGGTTAAGTTCCACCATGGTAAAGAAGGTGGCAGACCGAGTGTCTGCCAGCTGGCACCGCGCAGGGTGACACTGTCGACCGAACACGGTGTGACACGCAGGGGAGAACGGCGCCTGCAGGAGGTCTTGTGCACACGTGCTGCATGCCGACGGCAGACGCCAAACACCTTCTCCTGCGCTGCCACACCTACGCGGAGAAGAGGAACGCACTCCTGACCAGGTACCAGCAGCTCGGCTTGCCCCGTAAATCTCGAGCGAAAATAAAATATTCAACGATTGAAAAAAAAAAAAAAAAAAAAAAAAAAATGTCTGGCGCATATTTTTGCTTTCAAAAAGTTGACCACATGGCTCTCTCGTGGATCGAAGGGTCTCAGAATCCTGCAAGATGTCTCACTAAATGGGCACTCACACTGCGACAGTACAAGTACACAATAGGCCAATAGGCGTCGTGCACGGATTACGGGAAACGCTTCTCCAACTATCAGTATCATCGTTTGTGACGTAACTGGTAGGATAGACCAACGTTATTAGATTACCTCAGTTGCGGAACTCCCGCGGAGGGGGGTACACCCCTCACTCACTTCAATCCGCCAAGCGTCGTTTCATAACTATGCGTTCCCACGAGCCCAGCTGAAGCACCAAATGGTGATTACAACGCCGCCATTTATCCTGCAGCGATCACTGAAGGAACTGTACGTAACATCTATTTTGGCTTCAATCGGTCATTTCGAAGCAGAGGTCACAGAGATGCCAACCCCGTGTCCCCAGCGGGCGCGCCGCGAAATTGCGCCGAAGTTAAAATAGGCCTAGGTCGGGACGTGCTACCTGAAATGGCCGCTGAGGCATGGTTGTATGAAAACAATATTAATTGTACTGCAAAACCTTGTAATCTAAAGATTTGAGAAAACATCACGCGCCCCCCATTTGGTGCTAAACGCCAATAAAAGTTACTACAAAAAGAGTTTTTCCGTTGGTTTTTACGTTTCTAGTAACGTTGAAACGTACGTATCCGACGTATCCTGATTCAGTTACCAAAGCAGCCGTCTGGCGGCGCGTCGAGCGACGCTTACGCTTGGCGAGTCGCGGTGAGTGAGGGGGGTGGGGGGGGGTACTGTTCGTGTATGCGGCGCCTATGAGCAGTTCCGTAACTGAGCTAATCTAATAACGTTGGGATAGACCAAGCGGAGTGCGCAGCTCGCTTGCGCGTTGTTTAAATAATACTGGAAACTTTTTTTTTAAATTATTTTATTCAAAGTATGGTTTATGAAAAAAAAAAAAAAATAGCAAACCAAAAACGAAAGCCAGTCGCGTGTAGCAAAAACTTCAATGAAAGCGACTTCATGTACTCGGCACGAGTAAACAAATAATGTCATTGAAACAACTGGCTGAAAGAGGCGGTTGTAGCCGCCTCTTTCAGCTTTGCTAAGTATAGATCAAGGATGCTCTTCATATAGAAATCAAGTTACCCTATACAACTCAACCCCTGCTGCTTTGTCAGAGACCTTCGTTACAAATTAATCACGTTTAGGAGATCGACTTCAAACAGCCTCGGGCACGAGACATATTTTTCCCCGCAGGTCCACTTTATTTATATTCTTGCACTCACCTCACATACCCTCAAAATCATAAGCGAAAGAGATAAGGTAATTATGTTAGGTTTCTGCACGAACATTCTTCAAAGGCTCCGGAAGTACGCGGTACGCGGAACACGGTAACGGTTTGCTAAAATTCCCTAATGTTTCTTGAAGTATGGCGCCTATGCATACCGGTAACGACAAAACAGTAAAAGGTTTATTTCACAAATAGAAAAAAACGTGCGTTACATTTTATTTGTAACGGTAACGCGTCCCTTTTATTCTGATGTAACGTGTTGGTAATGTGGTTCTTTTATTTGCAAGTAACAACTAACGTACTGTGTTGCTATTTTTTTTTCGAGGGAGGGGGCTGGGGGGACACTGCTTAGCGCACAGCCAGCGCGACCTTCAAATCTCTGTCCGTGCGTGGCTTCCCCAAAGGTCGCAGTCCGGACTTCTTGAGGACCGTGCGTGGTCGGTAGTAAACGACCATCCTGTCGCGGAGAGCCATGCAGCACATCTCCAGTCCCAGAGCGGCGGCTGCGACGACGAATCCCGCACCGAGCAGGTAGAAGCTGCCGTTGAAGTCGCTGGCGCTCAGCGGATTCTCTCGGCGCTGGTGGAAGTCGTGCCTCGGGTCTTCAGTGACCTCGTCCAGCCGCCGCATCGCCTGACTGAGCCACTTCTTCAGATGGCCCGTCTCGAACAGCACCCGGCTCCTGTTGGTGCACAGCAGGACGACGCTGTCTTAAAGTCACACTGCTCCTTACCATGCAGTCTTGCGGAACCCCCCTTCCAACTCCATTTCAGGGAATTGGATTTTCTGATAATATTCCATCCCTCAGAACGCCTAGAAATGGAAACACTGGGCCCATTTCTATTCCTGAATGGCTGAACCGTCCCATTCCATTGCTCTAATTCCTAACCGCGAAAGATGGCGCTTGACAGCTACATTAAGTTGCCGGCAAATAACGTCGGCATAAAAGTAACGTTATCGAATGCATAAACAACTGCAAAACTACCCAAAACACGTCCCGAAAGCACTGATATTCTACTGAGCCGAGCGGTGGTCACACAAAGTGCTGGTGAAATTTTGTATGGCGCAGATGTCGATCACGGGACCAAGCGTACAAAGGCTCGTAGGATCCATGAAACGTGGGCAGTGTGGCATTGTCGCTGCCTTGGTGGCCTACGACCGGTGCTGTAATCAACAGCCACATTGTCGCGTCTCGCGGCGCCAGGAACGAGACCTTGCCTGCCTACCACTCTGCAGTTTGGTTGCCTTACTGAGGGTGGCCCTTTCATGCTGGAAGAAACATGAGCCGGTCAGATAACCAAGCTGTTAGCTGCCCAAAGTATAATGACGCTATTTCAAAAGCCCGTTTGACCAGATCGACGCAGCTCACACAAGAACAGGGGCCCAATATTCCATTATTCCAGAATCCATACTCATTCCGTTCCGGCGTCATAGAAGGGGGAGTAATTCCAGAATCATTCCAACTCCGGAATGGCAACTCCGCAACACCACCTCTCATACATCATGAAAAAGACACGATGTTCACTGCAGACATGATGGCAGAAATATCTGTGGAAACGCATCTAGTGTATTCTATGTTTGTTTGCTCCCCACATATGCATGCTTCGGGCATGTCTTCAGACAGTTTTTTTTTGTGTGTGTGGCCAGTGTGACAGTACCGAAGACTTGTCCCGTAAAGGAGGCTCACACTTCTCCCGGCGGTCCCCCTTTTCTTTGGACAACACCAAACAACAAGAAACAAACCTCAGACTTGTGTCTATCTGAAATACTCTACTCAAGATATTGTATTTCAAATACTTTTTGAAGTATCTTGGCATCTTGCAAATACTTTTGATCGGGAGTATTTGATACTCTATTTTAATTACAATTCCGAGTATCTTGTACTCATTATCTTAAATACAGTTCTGACATTCCGCCATTTTCCGAGTTTTTCGGTATGAAGTGGCGTGGGTGTGGCACGATCAAACGTGAACATTCTTTCGAGCAACCAAATCCTGTTGTTAGCTGTGATTAGCTACGGTGACTGTGATTGAGCTCGTGAAAACATCGCTTTTTTGGCGATTGCAACTCATATTTCAGCCCAAAATTCGTGCAATTAAGGTTTTCCCCTCGCCTTCTCAAAGGTGCCTTTAGTTTCCATAGAGTTTCCCCCCAAAAAATCCGCAAACAAAACGTGTGGTGTACGGAAGTAAAAATGCCACTTTGAGGCGCAATGCAGACCGGGAAACGACCTACGACAAAAATGCAGATTTCAGTGTCAAGAAAATAACAAATTAAGAAAATGAGAAGTGGACACACAAAAAAAAAGAATACATTTTTGTTTTGATTCTTGTATATTTGACCCCGCCGGGGCAAAACATCAACATTTTCTTTTGTTTCTTTTCTTTTTGTCACGAACACGTCTGTAAGCGAACATTGATAAGCAGAGAACAGTACAGGAAAAGAACTACGAACTGAATGACTTCTCAAAATGCCAACAAAGTGTCCCCCAACGTTGAGTGCCATTCTGAACGCAACCTACTTGAAGAAGGTGCAACCACTGCCGTGGCTATTATGTGGGTTCTCTTTGTTATCCATTCACTCATATCCGTATCTCAAGTTCGTTTGTAATGAACTCCCCATATAGGGAATATGGATTGTAGTGAAACAATGCGTCTAAGGTGCGTCGGAGGACGTGATATTCAGCGATGTCACTATATGGGCGAAACGCTCTGACCCGTTTGTCACCCCAAACTTCGGTGTTTACCGAGCACAGGGCCTGTGCACATGCCCACAGGCCTTGTGGGCAGGTTCATGTAATCTTTTTTTAATAGAGCGCCGGGCCCAGTGTTATGTAAAAATACCAACAATTAGTGAAGTGACGTTAAGTGCCGGATCTCTCCCGAAAGCAGCCGTCAGATGATGCGAGCTTGACCCACTTGGGCTTTTGTGCTGAGCTGGGCACCGCGCATGCTGCAGTGTTCATGCAGGCTGTAGTGGTAACAAAAGAGCCCCTCCTCCGCCTCACCGGAGAATACGAACTGCAGCCGAACGCTGACACCGCGTTCGGTTATGTCAACCGAGCGCTGAGTCATTGCATTTGTTGTCCCCATCCATGAAGTTCTAAAGTTAACCGCTTGGGGCGCCAAGGTCTGATCTCCTCCCCAATAGCTAAAGCGACCTCTTTCTTGTTGTCGCAGAAATGTTTTGTAACATGTATCAGTGTTATTGCCGCGCGCGTTGCCGAGCGAGCGCGTGGCCGAATGGTTACCGCGCTTGACTCTCGCGCGAAGTTTCCGGATTCGATACCAGGGAGCGGACTCCCCTTTTATTTATTCTTTCAACTTGACATTCTGAGAAGTTCGAGAACCTTGTCGTCTGATCGAGTTACGAATGTTCTACGCGCCGAACTTTCTACGCCGAATGTTCCAGAAACCCGCGCGGGTACGAAAGGTGCTCCGTGTGGCGGCCAGGAGTCAGTCTCGCCCCTGCGCTCGATCCTGCTGTTTCGCCGACATCGACGCCTGCGACGCTAGCCTTTCTCTGTTTTGTTTTGGGCACAAGTTCGCCCCAAAAAACGTTTAGTTTCTTCAGTTATCCGCCACGTCATGATTTGTCATTCGTGACAATATCCTGCTCTTTATAGTTGAACTGCATAAAAATGCCCTACGCTACTTTTTTTTTTCTTTTTCCGTTTTGTGTTGCGTAATAATCTGGGTAACCCAGATTTAGGCAGCTGTATAATTGTCGTTGCCACTGACGTCGATACAAATTACGCAATGCGGAAGTATCTTCAAAAGTAATTGAATTACATTTCTAAGCATTCGTACTCTGCTCAAGATACTTTACAGTGAAAGTAACTTGAGTAGTCTTTTAAATACTTTATGAAGCAGGCGTTTAGTAACCAATTCTTTTATCGAGTATTTTGTCCAACAGCGCTCAGACACACTCCATTTTATGATAGCTTGGCGAACTGTGGAGCCTGCGGTCCCCCAGACCCAATAAGAGCGTCGGAGCAAGGCACGTGACCACTCCATGGTACACACGAACGCTCCCATCGTCACGTCCCTCACTCCGATGCTCTTATTGGGTCGCGAGGGAGCCTTTACAGTTTGCCAGGTTACCGTGAAACGGAGTATAGTGCCTGCATACTGTCTTTCGTATGATGTATTTGCGGTGACCGCGGCTTTTGACACCGAGGCCTGGAAGCCAGGTCAAGCAACGCCTTCGCAAGACTGTACGGAAAGGGCACGTACGCGGCGTTGAGCTGCTCCCTGAGCGGGCAGTCCTTCTGGAAGACAGCTCCGCAGTACTCGACACCCATGTTGTCGTCCGCGACGTGGAGCCGAAGGGCGTCTTTGGCGTCCAGGAGCGTCGACATGCCGCTGAGGATGGACATCTTGGAGTCCATGTAGGCGTAGGGGTACTTGAGTGCCCACAGCAGTCCCGTCCGCCGGTCCGAGACAAGCAGCGAGCTCTCGTCGCCCATCTGACGCAGTCGAACTTCGTTCAGGGCTCCGCTGCGGGCCATCTAAATTAGAACGATGGATAGTTGGGTGAGTTGGTAGGAATTCATCGTGGAAAGAGCGGAAACGACGTTTTCGTGTGCCTTCGTAATAAAATTCGTCAGTTCATAGTGCTCGTTGCGTGTGTTTCTTCTGCGTCCTCGTGTTTTCACGGTGTTTCAACGATGCATGTGAAATAGTCAAGCCCTATCGCGGCTTCGCAAGACAATAGGTGGGCAACGCCGGTAGAAAGAACTTGAAAGGAAGCCTTCTCGAGTGAGGCTTCTGGGAGCTTCCTTTTCAAGTACTTTCTGCTGGCTTTGACCACCTTGTGTTTTTGACCAGTGGGGGTTTCGGTAACAGACTTAGCTTTTTCAACTAACTCTGTTAGCGCTGAAGAATCTGTCTCAGAAATGCGTGTCGACAAGTAGATTCCCTTTCAAGTCTACCATCACCGAATACGGCAATAGACCATTTGCTGTGTCACCCAAGCATCAAGGAGAATGCCGGGATTGGTGTTCCCCGCGCCGCACGGGCACGCCTTCTTCGTATAAAAAAATTCGAAGTAAATAAACAAAATAAAGCGTCGCCGAACGGCCGTGCAAGATGCCATTTGTTTTAGGTATTTTCTTTAGAAAAGTTTCTACTGCTGAGGCCAGCACGTGCGGCGCGTGGAACACCAATCCCTGCATTCTCCTTGATGCTTGGGTAATACAGCAAATGGTCTATTGGTGTTAGTATAGTGACATTAATTGTGTTTAAAAAGAACACCCCTTAAGTTCCAGACTAGCAGCAGTGGCCGTCAATTTATCGAGCGACGTTTTATTGACATATCGTTTAATCAAAAGGCTTCCGCGTTCGTTTCATCAACACATTTTACTATAGATAGATAGATAGATATCTTTTTGTACATTGTCTCGTCGAAAGTGTCTTTCCGCACACATTGCCTCGGCCGACGGCATCCAGATGGTCGCCTAGCTTGCCGAACCCATGGAGGTTCCGACGATGCTTGATGCAGGTAATGCAGGCTCGAGCCTGAGCGTGCAAATCTGCAATGGCGGCCATATCTGACGGCGAGCTTCCGCAGTTCTGTTGCAACGTGCATTTCGCACAATCAAGATTGCCGTTCTTAGCAAGCTATTAATATTAGCTGGTTCTGAGCATGCGCTCTAAACATCGCCGTCAAATATGCCGTCCAGTAGCAACGACCTTTCGCTCGTAGGCTACCCGTATGTATTCGATGAAGATGGTTTGCCGATGGGTGCAGAGCTTGAAGCCCTTGTGCCTGATGGCGTCCTCGAGCTGCTCCAGGTTCCTGATGGACGGCTCGTAGACGGGCACGCTCATGAAGGCCACCAGGCGGCCGCTGTACAGCGTCGTCATGACCAGCACGTACAGCCACCAGGGGCCCAGGAACAGGCGGTAGCCTGGGCTTTCGTGCTCGCCTTGCCACGCATCTGCGGTGGTAGTGGTTCCCCGTGACCGTTAGAATAACGCCGGAAGGAAAAAGTAATGAGGATTCAATTAAACGCCGTGTATAAGCGCATTTTACGAAATAAACAAAAAAGGATATTGTGCTTTTAGGCTGAATAATGAGCAAAAAACGAGGGCAAGGTATATGCACCAGAGATAACACAAACACAAAAGCCTCAAGTTATTTTTTTTTTTTTTTTACCCTGACTGTTTGAGGACCTTGCTGCGTAGTAGCTACGTAAATCAGAAATAATAATAATAAAAAAATAAAAACTATACGAAAAAGTATTCGCTCAAGAAAAGGCTGCCTATCGGCAATTTGTTTTCGTGAAACTAGAAAAAATAACAAGAAACTATGGTCGCTGTAACTTTTATTTTAACTAGTCCAAACGCTGGAAACACCAGTCAAAATGGCAACAGCGATTTGTTTTGTCACAATAACCGCTTCTGTAGCTAATAAAGTTCTTCGATTTTTGTTTATACTTAAATTGGGCTTTGTGCATAAAGGCTAGAAACGAAATGTTTACCACCAATCACTTAGTTGCAGTCTTAGGAAAAATAGTGAAATGAATGACCCTGCTCTTACTTCGCCTTAGTTCTTACTTTGTCCTTACTTTGTCGGCCGAGCGTAGAGAGAAGAAACCAGAAGTTAGGCCTATCTCCCGGGCCGCTCTCGGCAGGACTTAGGCGTAGAGCCTCGAGGAGTAGAGAGCCAACCAACAGAGACAACGCCACAGACAGCCAGATCTGCGGAATGAGAGACGGAGATAATCGCGTGCGGTGTAGCCGTGCTTGTCCGAGTCTTTTCTTTCGTGGCTTGCAATCAACTCGTCTTGATAACTCAAAAATAAAACGACACCCTGCAAGAGCGTCTTTTATTTATTATTTTTTGACATTGTACAATATTAATGCTCGAGTGTGTATGTTATGCGTATTCAACGTCATTCCTTTAATCTCAAACCTTCGTCACCACCATTTGCTGATCTGTCTACATTCGCCACATCTTCACCCTTCTATTACGCGGCGCGTGGGCTCCCTCGGCATGGGCCACTGGCCTTCCTGTCGCGTCGCGGCTGTCCTGAGCTAAATAAATACAAATAAGCAAACGATCAGATCGCGTACACGCTGTTTCCTGCTTGTTTACCTCTAACCTGATTGTCCGTGCTCACGTGATCAAAGTTGGGAGGAAAAGAACACCCGTAGTCCCATGAGGGGCTGAGCATTTTGAAATAAATAAACTTAAATCCAGAAATTAGATTTCATTTCACCTTACGTCCGGACGCAGCCGATGCTGTGAGCTGATGGGAACAATCATACAGCATCAAAGCTCATCATCGTAGAGTTCGTCATGTTTCTGTACGTGTTCTATCATCACATGAGCCAATCATGTGCAGGGATTTGGACCAGTGCATGGTTTGCGCTTTTGACTGTGTTAGAAATGTCTGAGCAGCTCGTAGATATCCTCCGCATCCGCACGTCAGCAGAAACGAAGTATTAGCGACGCGCGCGACCAAAAGCGTCGATGCGGTCGCGATTCGCGCTCACTATGATGTCTTTATTTGGATTAAATTTCCTTTCATCGACGGAAATTAGCACTATGTCAGAGGGTCAACTGTGAGGATGTTGGTTTAAGAATCCAATGACTCCAAGTTTCCACTGTTATTTTTACACGCATTTTCGACCTTGTTCGCAACTGATGATAAGTAATCAAGATTGCAACTCATGACGTCACGGCGAGAAAAGTTCTGATCGTGACGTCAGGAGCGGAAGCCACAAGAGGGCGCCACAGAGACATCTCGGCGCTAATAGAACCTCGTGAATGAAAAGGTGCGCTTGCTCCGTCAGGGTCCATCGGAGATCCGCTGAGTCCAAGCTAAGCCAAGCACTCCAGGAGAGAGGGAAGTAGGGACGATAAACTATCTGTTCTGTATCTGCCCTGGTCTCTGGACAGTTGGGACATTGAGCCGTTCCATGCAGCCTGAAGCTGCGGGGTATCAGTGGGGTGAGTGATATCGAAGTAGGTCACGCAAAGAACTACCGCTGCGTCCCGATGGGCGTACCTGGCCGTCGAAGGGTCTGATGATGGCGAAGGCGAAGGGCGTCACTCCCGGCGCCCTGGCGACGAAGCTGATGACGTCGAACACGGCAGGGTACTGGTACGACACCACCTTGGTCCGGTTCACCTCGAAGCTGATCTCGCTCAGGGCCAGGTCGCTCTCCTGGAACGCGTCAGGGACCGTTAGACGGATTTGCATGGATCGCACGAGCAAATGCTTAAAGCGGAGGTTACACTGCCGATACGTTATTCAGAAGACAGCCTGCAGCGTGACACTCCAGATTCCAGTTTTTTCTGACATTGTACAGCCGTATTCACACTGCGCGTACACCATGCAAAAGACACGGTGTTCGCGGTACACGCGACGACAGAAGTATCTGCGGAGACAAATCAAGCATGTTCGAAGTACGTTTGCTCCATATAGGGTGTTTGTGAAAAATCCGAACCTGGCTTTTCGGACCGCAAAAATAAACTAGACATCGCGGAGAGTTCAAAGTCCGTCAGGACGTGGGCCTAGCCGTTCGAGCGAGATGTCAAAGTTTCAGCACCAACCGTTATCTTATTCGAAAGTTAGAAGTATTTCTTTTGAAATTTTCCATAGGAAAAAAATAGGGCCCATTTTCGCCTGTTTTTTTGGTTTCTGGCGCCATAGAGCTCCATGTGTTCAAGAGCTGCGTCGGCCACCATTCTTCCATTAAAAGTTTCAGAAAATCGTTTCTAACTTTTGAATAACATAATGGTCGGTGCTGAAACTCTGGCATCTTGCCCGAACGGCTGGGGCTACGTCCTGACGGAGTTCGAGCTCTTCGCGACGTCTACTTTATTTTTGTGATGCGAAAAGCCGGCTTCAGATTTCTCACAAACACCCTGTACATATGACAGACGGGCTAGTTGGTACATAGTTCCTTTTGACAACAGGTGCCGCAAGACAGGGACAGAAAGTGAGAGACACAACCGGGGCAGACACAGAACACATCCAGTGTCGTGTTTCTTGCTTTCTGTCCCTGTCTTGCGGCACTTGTTGTCAGAAGGACATATGTATACGCTTGGAAATCTCTTGTATGGATTGTATGACCGTCACACGAGGAAGAAACGCCCATGAGACACTGTCTGCAGACTGTCTTTTGTCAGATGTGCGCGACCGCGGCTTAGGGCATCGCGATTAAAAAAAAAACTGCCATAGGCGGTGTTTTTAAACCTCACTTGTGGCCGGGTCGTAGTAGCGAATCCAAATTATCACAACGAACAATAAGATATAATGAGAAATTTGTGCTGTATTTTTATGAGCGAGGTCTGGCAATACCACCTCGAAGAGAAGGCTAGTGTCTTTGTCACCTAAACGTCACCAACAGTGGATCCACAAAGCGCAGCTTAGCTTCGGTCAGCATCAGTGCGTCTCGCACCGACGAGCTCGACGCTACCACGAGCCGATGCCAAGACGGACGCGTCTGCCGCTTTGCGGCGTATCCCGCCGAGCTTCAGCGCGTTTGCCTCTTGGGGCGGGTCGGGGATCCACAAACGATGATGTCAAGACGCAGGCCTTGCCTTCTAGGTGGTACTGACTCTGGGCACTAAGCGAAAGTCACGGGAAGACCACAGTTCCGTAGTGCTTGGAATCGTAGGAGCTCATCATTGTAGTATGAGGTGTAAAGATGGGCGAGTTAGGCGCAAAAATGAACACAGGGGCAAGTGACACAGACAAACAGCGCTGTGTTTGTCTGTGTCTTCGACTTGTCCCTGTGTTCATGTTTGCCCTGTTTATATTTCTTTGAGCTCGTCATTGGCAGTTTATTGCCGCAGTGATTAAAGTGAAAGAATCACCTTGAGAAAACATTATGTATATATATATATTTTTTGCAGACACCTTTCTGAGGACTTTTCCGATGAGCCCGGTCCAATGGCCGTTGCGGAGCGATCCGTAGTCCCCGGAGCTGACGCTCAGCGAGTACCTGGGTTTCAATAATTGAGGAAAAGTAACTCGCTGCGAGACACTTGGTCAGCCGCCCTTCTCTCCGTGCTCTTTCCAACGTTCGGCCACAGAATAGACCCTTCCTTGAGAAGTTCACGCCATGTAGTAGCTGCGGCACACATTATCCGAATCTGCTTTTGTTTGGGCACGTACCAGGTTTTGGACACGAGAGCTACGTTGGAGATGGGCGTGAACTCTTCCGCGGCCGGACTGGATATCCGCTATCGCTTTTTGTCCCTCCTTTTGGGTCGCAGTAAAAAGCGTGAGAACCATTCAACGTGGGGGGCTATTAAGGCATCCCAGCTGTTCAGCAGCAAGGGGCTCAGTTATGGACGCCACTGAATACCAGCTATAGTCGCGGTTCTAGCCTTCTGCTCAACGGTTGCCTCAGCGATGGTCTCCTGTTGCCTTTCGAACTGCCATTCAAACTCGGGGAAGACTCCTGGCGTGTCTTTTCACCCGATGGCCAGCGGTGAATCTCTAAGCACCGCGTGAAAAAAGAAGATACTAAGAAAGAACCTTGTTGTCATCAAGTACCCATCTACGGTTTGTGTGTAAGATCCTCTATTCCCCTAGTGAAGCACTTAGGAGATTATTGCTTTACTGGCAATTAAATGTATAAATAAGAGAATGCTCATACCCTGAGATTTCTGTCGTGGCATTACCCCGGGGGAATCAGCATTCAGGTCTTCGACCAGCGCTGTGATTATGCTTTTTCTAGTGACTCTCAGAGTTCTCACTCAGAATTAACGTCCACCGCCAGTCACCGAGAATCTAGAAGCAGCTTAGGTGCACGTCGCATTTCCAGCACTACGTAAGAAACAGAGAAGATCCGCGATAGTTTCCAAACGATTTACGCGTTCGCTTCTTTTTATGTCTGCTTCTCTAGTTTGCTTTGACCAGAGTCTAAAGTCGTGGGCAACTTCCTGTGGCATTTCCAAAGAAGGCAAGAAAGTACGCGTAGGGCTACGTGCCTGGACGCAGCACTCGTTTTTGATACGAGCTGAGCAGAGTCATGGCCGGACCGGATACGTGCTCGCTGCGTTACGGCCTCTCCAGTGAAGTATGATAACACCTATCCCCCCCCCCCCCCCCCCCAAATCTTTCATTTTGCTGGGACCTCCCCTGCCCCCTCCCCTCATACAGCATTTTGTCATAAGCGCCCCCCCCCCCCCCCCCCCCGGAACGAAATCCTGGCTACGTGCCTGGCTGCGTCCTAAAGACTGGGAACCAATCACACGCTTTGTGCCCTAGGAATGCCGGCCACCAATGAATACGTGTTAACTACATTTTGTTAAAGGGGAAATCTCGATGGTAGCGGATTTGTTTCAATATTTGTTCAACACATCGAAATTCACGGCTTTTTTGTTTTCACGAAGTTATTATGCGCGACATACTTTGTTTTTTAGACTGCCTGCTCGATCTGCAAGTTTTACGACATATGACGTCGCGCCACTGAAACGCGCGAGAAAATGCCAATGTTGGTTTTGTCATTGCCTTCATTTGCTGTTTTCTCAATCACTATCCTGAGTTTAGAGAAAATAGATAGCATGCCAGGAAGAGTAAAACCCGTGTATTTCGAAATTGTCGTCTGCTTAGGTTGCTCGAAAATCCACCGGAGCTCAACCTTTTGACATCTGAATGTCACTATACTATATTCCACTGCAAAATTGACCCGGGAATTCACGAGTCGGATTTTCTTCCGTCGGCAAACAGAAGACAATGTTTCGTCGCTTCGGCATTACACGCGGAGTTATTTTTATCATTTCTTCAATTGTTCGCATGCATTTACTTTCGGTTCCACGTGCGAGGGGTTCCAAATGCTGCGAAAGGACGAATTGGGGCCTCACGTGAAATTGAAGACTTGGCTGAGGATCTTGAGCTGGACCATCTCGACGCCTTCTTGTTTTCTGAAGCCGAACCCTGGTTGCCAATCGCCGAGTACCACGTACGGAGTGTTCTGACGGCGAAAAAATGCCCAGGAAAGGGGAGAGAATAGAAGCTTTATTGGAGCTGGGCCATCTCAGTAAAGCTGCATTCACACTGCTCGTAGATTTTACAAGAGCCTCAATCATGTTCGAACTATGTTTGCTTCGCACATGCAGTTTTTGTCTGACAAATGTGACCGTCATACGAGGATGAGACAGTGTACGCACACTGATAGCAGTGTGAGGGCGGCTTTGGGGGACGGAGAAGGCACGAGAGCGTACGTTGACGGTGCTGACTTGGATGTGGGCGCCGTTGACAGACTCCAAGAACTCGTAGCCGTGGTCGTTCCGAGTGGCGCCCCCGAGGCCTCGTAGGAAGCCGCACGCGCTGCACACGGTCCGGTAGGGTTGCGCCGTGTGCAGCGTCACGGCAAAGCCCGGGCCGCGTTCTCTCCTTGCCTACGTCGAATGGACCGTCAAAACCGGCGCCGTCTGTTGAAACACGGTCTACATGCGTAGCCTTTGCGGGAGATTTTCACCGGGTGATATCGAACCTATTTCTACGGCTTCACCTTTAGACCACCAGGTGCTGGGAGTATCTAATTAGTTCGAGGAGGCTGGCGAGCGAACCCGCCGCCACAGCTTTCTGTTTGAGCCGCTTTACGATTTTGTGTCCGCGCTTGGGACGCAGCCTGGATGACGTCGTAGTGTAGCGAGACGTCACCCCGTGACGTCAGGTGACATTAGGAGGAGAGGTCACGTGACACCGTAGCGTCACGTGACGATGACGTCACTTTAGGTAATGTTATGTTACACTGACGTGACGGCGTCACGTGAGGCGGTTTCGCGTAACACTGATGTCACGTGACACCAAGACGGATTATGGGCTGTGACGTCACGTGAAACTTTCGTCATGGCGTTACGTGACGTGAACTGCCGTGGCAGCATGGCGTCATGTTACACCGGGACGTCATGGCATCCCGCGAAGTAACCTCACAGAGTACGCATACATGCTACGGAGGCCATTGGGGTAGACCAAAGGCGACGCGGTCAGCCACGTACCAGCAGGTGCGGCGGAACCTGGGGCGCTGCGAAGCCGACGTTCAGAATGCGGCAGCAGGACAACGAGCGGAAGGCCTCCAGCGGTCTCGTCAGCTCCAGACCCGCGTCTGGCTCCAGGCTGACGTCGCAGACGGTTCCCATCTGCGCCTGCAGTGGACTCTGACCCAGGGTTTGGGCGAACGGGAGCTTGTCAGAGCGACCGTTACCTTCATTAGGGAGTTGTAGTAAATCGTTTTTCTCCTCCGCTACGGTATCCGCAAAGAAAACGCAGCAGCTGCGCACGCGCGCCGCCAGCCTTTTCTGCATAGCTCAAGGCCTTGTGGCGGATTACGGAGCGCTATCCGGGTGCTTAGCGGGCCGCGGAAACGGTCTACCACAATTCCCTATTGTTTCGTAGATCGTTTTCTCGTCCCGCAAGGCCCTCCGCAACCCGCTACGATAGCGGGAACTCCACAGTCAAGGCTATCGGCGCGCAGGCGCAGTAGCAACTTCTTCGTTGCAGAACGCTTAGCGGTGGGGGCAAAGCGGTCTATGAAAAATCCCTATTAAGCGGTTGCCGAGCGTGTGGTACGAGCACCGCAGCTCGTACCACGTGAAAGCTCGCGCTCCACAGCCCCCCCCCCCCCCCCCCCTCCCCCTAATTTCAATTCCTGGGGTAACCCCTGCTCCAAGCTTCCGTCGCTCAAAATGAAACTTGTCACCGCCAATTGTGGTGGGCCGACCACAGCGATGCTTTCGATCGCTCACGTCGCCAATACTCCGTTCACCCATAAGCTGAGACTGCAGCCAGAGCTAGAAGCGCGAGCTAGCCCGCGATTCTGGCTTTTGGTCACGTATTTCTAGCGCGAGCGCTCGTTCTGCGGAAGGACGCTTCCAAGCAGCGACCTCGTGCTCTTGTGCTCGTGGCATTGACTGCTGGACGTCACTGAACGCGCCTGAACACTACAAGTCCTAGCACGAGCCTCTCGCCTAAAAGCACAGTTACAGTGTTCTAGAGAGTAGAACGATGCTTGAAAGTCTGTCTTGGTCGCTCGCAATTTCATGGAACGCGAACAGTTTTATTTCCAGAATTGCACGCTGTGCTGTTCCTCCTCCTTGCTCATTTGGAACGCCTCTATACTCCGTCTCACTAAAACCGAGCAGCACAGCCAAAGCTACAGGTGAGACAACTTGTCCCAACCTGTTCAAAAGGAGGGAAAGGAGGAACAGGAGAGAGAGGTTGGGATTCCCAGCCTTTTTATCCTGTTCCTCTTTTCCCTCCTCTTGAACAGGTCGGCATATCTCCCCTGTAGCTTTGGCTGTGCTGCACGGTTTTAGTGAGACGGAATATAGGGAGAGGCGTCGAAACAGAGAAACGGGGAGGGCGGCACGTCATTTCGTTTCGTCACTCGAACTCACGTCATTTCGTTTCGTACCCCTTTAAGACATTAGTGAGGTCAAGATTAGAATTTTGCTCAATCACTAGCTATTCACTGACTCTATCACAGGCTGTTGCAGTTGAAAATACACAAAAACAAATGATTAGAATTGTGTATGACCGTTGTAATGGAAGAAAATATTTTTACCATTATGAAAAGTTCCTGGTTCGAGTTGCGTTGCACGAGCTTGCCGTGCGGAGGCGGTACAGAGATTTTATATTTCTTCCCAAAGTTGTACATGGGGAAGTTAATTCAATTGATTAGTTGCGTTTTTTTAAACTTGTATGTTCTGTCAAGGGCCAGCAGGAATATGTCTTTTGTGTCTCCTTCATCGAGAATTCAGTTAGCATTCAATAAGGGCCATCTTGACATTTTTCCTTCGTCTTATTAGTTTATGTTTCATGTGCGAAGGTGGATATCTTCGAACTTCCTATTGTAAGGCGGGTTTTGTGTAGCCTTTTCAGTTTCTGTTATTTATGGTTTATGTTTTTATTGTGACATGTATTTTAATGTTTGATATAGTGCTGTGTTTAAATTTGCTTTACGTGCACCACGATATACGCTGTAAAGTATTTGTGAGCCCGTAAAAATAAATATTCATTGTCATTATTATTATTATTATTATTATTATTATTATTATTATTATTACTATTATTATTATTAGAAAACAAATGACGACGACACGGGTCTGCTAAAATTTATTGATTTTAAGTTAAATAAATAAATTCCGGCGAACCTCTGTCATCGCCTCCTGAATAAAATATTACAAGCATCAGTATGATGTGACTGGGGAATACAGAAATAACTTCAAATATCCAATAGGGATAAAAATAAATTCTTTGTGCACAATACGTAAACGTAAATCAGGCATCGTGACTGATTCGGTGCAATTTTACTTGCGATTTCGTACTAGCAATGTCGCTTATGCGGCAAAAAAAAAAAAAAAAAGAAAAGAAAATTAAAATAAAAACATATCCGTACGAGCGCAAGCAGCAGCCGCCTCGAAGTAGTGAGTGGCTGGTCCGCCAGGAGGAGCTTGTAGTGCGCCTGGGGGTCCTTGGTCCAGGTGGCAGCCAGGTCTTCGGCGGCCGCCAATGTCAGCCTCTCCGAGAGCCAGGCTGTGTTGGCCAGGCACCCCGACCGGTGCAGGAACCGCGCCAACGCCCCTGGCAGGCAGAGGCGAGCACGAGGAATCTTACACTCCGCCCGGATAGGGCCCACGTTGCACTGGCGCTGTCTGGAGCGTGTCTCCAACTCGTGTGCGTGTTTAGCTTCCCATACATTCAAAGATGTCCCAAAGTGCCAACAAGTAACGTCGCAGACGCCGGAATGCGTTATGCTGTCGGATGTTGCGATCGTGGCGGTTAGCCGTAAAAGTTATGAAAAAAAAAAAAATGAAAGACGTTTACAACTCCCTGTAATGCCGAATTAGAGCGCAGCTCTTGAGGAGGAGGAGGGGAGGGGACGGGACGGTATGCCCCTCCTCCTCCCCCTCCTCCTCATCCGTACCCTCTCCTCCTCCCTTGTCATTTACTCCTCACGTGCTCCACGCTCCTCTCCTTCTTCTTCCTCCTCCTCTCCTCTTCCTGCCCCTCCTCCTTTATCGTCCTCCCCCTCCCCTCCTCCTCTATCCCGCGCGGTGCATTATGAGAAACGTCCCATAATGTAACTCGCGCGTCACGGCTGTGCATTATGGGACGTTTCCCATAATGCACCGCGCGGTTACGCCGACACCGCTCAAGCCGGAAACGGGCGCCTAAGTGCTGCGCTCTGAAAAGAAAACACGAGAGAATGCGAGTGTCGCTGTCGTCGCGGCGTCCCAACTTCTGGCTGCGGAAGCTTCAGTGGACTGCCACACTGGGGAGCGGCCTGCGGCAGAACAAGCGTCTGTCACAGACACCACCACCACTGGGACACCGCCAGGATCGTGACCGGCGACAGCATGACACCTCTATGACGTCATCAGGTGGAACTCGAAGGATCACTTTTTTGGACGCAATAAGCACAGCTGTCGGAGACGTGCTTCTTGGACCGTAGTTGCGCTACGACTATCGAGGACCTAACGCGCCTGTTCCGTCTTTAAAATAAAAATTGAAAAAAATGTATTGCATATTGCTGGGCAATTGTGTTGCACATACGTGACACGTTCTAGCACCACAGACGTTCAGGGACACTCTCACGGCACTCTTCATCAAATAGTTTAACGCGTACCATCTGTAATCTTCATAGTTGCTTCTAAAATGAAGGAGTACTACCGTTAATCGGACTGATAAGCCTGCCGATCTTCCAGAGCCTTCCATACTCTCGATCTTCTCACCCTCAGTGCGCACAGGTGGTCGAGTTCCTCCTCGCCTACCCCTCCGGTCACGTGACCTCCCCCGTTAACCAATCAGCATCGAGCTTCTCGGCCACGACCCGCAATAATTTACTGAGAGCATATATACAGGGTGTCCCCGAAGAAAAAAAAAAAAGGATTTACAAGATCGTTTTTCGCCGAACGCTCATTCTCTGCCCAAAGGAAGCGATAGAGGCCCGAACCAGATACCAAAGTTTCAGCCCGAACCGATATCTTATTCAAAAGTTATAAATGATTTTCTGAAAATTTCAATGGGAAAATGACGACCGACGGAGTGCTCGAATACACGAAGCTCTATGGCGTCACAAACCGAAAACGGACAAAAATGGGCCCCATTTTTCCATTAAAAGTTTTCATAAAATCCTTTATAACTTTTGAATAAGATATCTGGTCGTGCTGAAACTTTGGTACCTGGTTCGGACCTCCAGCGCTACCTTTGGGCAGAGAATGAGCATCCGGGCATACATATAGTTTATTTTTGCGGTGAAAAAAATCCCTGTAAATTTTTTCGAGGACACCCTGTATATATATATCGAATAATTTAACTTAATTATTAACACATCTCACATAAGTTACACGCCATCATTCCTTATTAGCGACGTGCGCAACCAAGAGCGTCGCTCTTGGCTACGCACGTCGCAAGTTCGCGATTGGCCAAAACAATTGCTCCCTGTGTTATTAGAATGCATGCCCAATCGGCGGTTCACAGCGAGGCAAATCCTGCCAATCACGGCGAAACAAATCCTTGTCGTGACGTGAGGAAAGGAAACCGTAAGCGGGAGCCACCGAAACAACTCGGCGCTAATAGTTGGGGCCAAAGTTTACAAAGCTCCCCGATTGCACTTTCGCGATGATGACGTCACGCTTCTGTAACTGAAGTCAAATGGACACGCTCCGCCTATCTTTGGTTCCAACTTTGTGTTCGACGAGTCTAGAGCCTAATTACTGGTAGGCAGTGATATGAAATTTTAACGAAATTTCGACCGCATTGCGTCAAGCTGTGAAGCGAAAGCGATTTGTGGAGTTTTTTTTTTTGACGTTGATTGTTTGTGTTGTCTGTTTTAATTCATATATTCAATGATCGTTCATGTATTTTACGTGTTTAATTTTTAATCATTATATTTTATATATATATATATATATATATATATATATATATATATATATATATATATATATATATATATATATATATATGTTTATGATACGGCGAAAAATTCCGATCATTCTGTTTATGCTTGTAATTTTCAGTTGTGTTTATTCTTCCTGCCATTTATTGCCGTTTATGTCCTTGTGAGCTGTATAAAAGCCGTGTCACATTGAGGAAACTCGGCGACGACAGCAACACAACATGTTCATTAACAGTT